GTCAAAAATTTTGTGTTTTTTTGTCAAAATGGGGTGCTGTGTGTACATTAATGAGGAAAAAAATGTACTTAAATGATTTTAGCAAATGGCTGCAATATAACAAAGAGTGAGAAATTTAAGGGGGTCTGAATGCTTTCTGTACCCACTGTATATATTGTTGAGTGTCATATTTGGTAATTTTATTCAGAGACCCAAACTGAGCACAAAATGCATATAAACATCAGTTGTCACTCTCTATCTCCCTGTAATATATATTGTGAGGGACAAAATGTATGACCTAATGCAATACAATGAAGACTGAGAGATGTACATGTAAACGTTCCTCAAAGGCCTGATATAGCAAATTTGATAGTCACAATTTAACATATTTCTAAAAAAAAAAAATCTATATATATACACACACATATCAGTACAAATTACACACAATGAAGTGCAACGTATTTTAAACCTATTAACCTCAAGGCCCTTTACTTGATTTAAAAAAAAAAACATAAACTATCATTCAGATGAAAGTCATGCTGTTGATCATGTACAGGTTTTTCAACAAATATTTGATCATGTTGATAATTTAGAGGCCTTAGAAAATCTGTAGGATTTACAGGGTTAACAACAGAACCTATAAAAGAACCAGCGGAGTGCTGGTTGTTAGTGGTGGTGAGAGTTTGTGAGACATAATTGCGGACAAAACTAAGAGTGGAGCAGTGCATAATACCTCACATTGGGAGAAACATTTTTGTCGCTCAGCACGTACAAAGCACACATTGTCAACACATCTGCATTCCACAGCAGTGTCACTGTGATGACCATATGGTCAAAAAAGACTGTTTCAGACAGTGCTGACACCAAAAAATAGATGATGGTAAATGTGTGAGATGTTGTTTGTGCAGCCTTCCAGAGCTGCTCATATTTATCACCTAAAGAGGCTTCAGGCAAGTGCAATGTGAATGCTAACTGCCATAGTACATGTTCAAGATCAGATTAAAAGAGAAAGGAAAGAGAAAGGTCTCCTTATAAATTAGATAGGTCGACCAGAATAGTGACAAAACTGATCATTCATAAACATAAGGACTTGAGGTGAAAGCTCTGGATCAGAAAATGCACAATACATACTCACATTTCCTGTTAAAATAACACAAATAACTGTAGGTTTCAAAGACAAAATAGAATTACATTCACTTGAGTCTGGGGTGCCTCTTTTAATCCCAAAGGTAATCTAAAATGCTCATTGATGAGTTTGCAGGGTGTGTAAATCTAGTTTCCCTGAGCCTTACAATCAATCTAGAGAGGACTAGCAAACAAAATAAAACACCGCAAGACAAAGACAGTATTTTACCAAACCAGAGAGAGCAGCTCATCAGTGTTTAAATGCACCACTACACTTAGACTTCAATCCAACCTAATCTACCCGGGAAAAAAAATCATGATTCATGTGCAATCTAGTCGCAGGCCCAGATGGCACCCTCACAGACCAGTCTGTTCAATGACTGTCTCATGCATATTGCACACAAAACTGGAGAGTGCTAGCAGAAAATCGACAGTTCCAATAGGATTGGTTGGCTATACACAGGTTGCAGGACTCAATGTGCATCATTCTGCTTCTCTAGTTGCTGGATTTGCCTATAAATTTGCCAGATTACTGTCTTCAAATCTTTGACTTTTGCTTGAGGCACTGTGTTGCCAATAAACTAGACATCAATGAGCAGAACTGCACATACTGTTTTGTTTTCTGAGTTCTGAATGTGAAATAATCATTACCTATCACATTTGGGTATCTAGTTTCCCTGAGCCTTACAATCAATCTAGAGAGGACTAGCAAACAAAATAAAACACCGCAAGACAAAGACAGTATTTTACCAAACCAGAGAGAGCAGCTCATCAGTGTTTAAATGCACCACTACACTTAGACTTCAATCCAACCTAATCTACCCGGGAAAAAAAATCATGATTCATGTGCAATCTAGTCGCAGGCCCAGATGGCACCCTCACAGACCAGTCTGTTCAATGACTGTCTCATGCATATTGCACACAAAACTGGAGAGTGCTAGCAGAAAATCGACAGTTCCAATAGGATTGGTTGGCTATACACAGGTTGCAGGACTCAATGTGCATCATTCTGCCTGGAAACAAACTGTGCTGATACAATGAGTGCTTCTCTAGTTGCTGGATTTGCCTATAAATTTGCCAGATTACTGTCTTCAAATCTTTGACTTTTGCTTGAGGCACTGTGTTGCCAATAAACTAGACATCAATGAGCAGAACTGCACATACTGTTTTGTTTTCTGAGTTCTGAATGTGAAATAATCATTACCTATCACATTTGGGCGCACATAAATTCTAACTACAAGGTCTGCACATATTTCTGTGTTTTCTGTACAGCCAGTCACATATCTAAAAATTCCCCTCCTCTAAACAGCCCATAAAAAAACAAAACAAGCTTTGGCTGGTCACTTTTATGGTCAAACTTCCTTCTCCTCTCTAAGTGAACAGTTCTTGTCCAAAAAATGCTGTGATGACCAGATTTTATGCCGATAGTCAAAAGTCTGGCTTTTCACGTCTGTGTGCCATCCTGTTGGCAAAAATGCAGATGGCTAGACCAGAACTACGCAAATTCACCTGGGGCAAAAATCAAGGATGGTAGAAAACATTAAATTACTGATAAACACATAATAAGCAATGACGTTCAACACAGAAGAATCATTATAGGCATGAATGGTAAAAAAAACCTGTGCTTCTTACCTTCATAGATTGCTTTAAATCCTTGGGCACTCACTGCAAAATCCGTAGTAAACCACAGCGCCAAAATCGACCCAGAACTCACGATGGGTGATGGCAACATGAAGCCAGACAACCTGAAATGAAATGTAAAAAATGTAATGTAAGTGTTCATCATTATAGTATTAGAATTTGATCCACAATATACATTATTTTACATAAAAAGAAACAGGTAATTGTTTCATTCATTCCTGTACTTTTCTAAAGTAGTTCACATTTTCTTTGTCACGTTTTAATGAGCAGGACCAAATCGTGAGCGCACTTAGCTGCCCTAAGACTCCACGTTACTGCCTCACCTTTGACACCACTCTATTGAATTAGATGACAATAACAAGCTGAAGATAAAACTGGGGTCCTCCGTAACAAAGACTAGACTCTGTGGTTCTCAAGTGAAGGATAAGACATGTTTTGATTGTAATTTTTTGATGAAAGCGAGGAGAAATAAACTGGTCCCATTCCTCAGAGATCTCAGCTAAGTAGCAGCAGTTATCTGACTCTAACACATCAGCTAAAGTTCATGGAATTCTCTAAAGATGATTCATGTTATCTCAGACCAGCACAAAACCAGAACAGAGCACAGACTCCTTAATTCTTGTTTCAGCAATCATCTCATTTCCTAACTAGTAGTCATTTGCAAACATCGAGATTATCATTCACTAGAAATGTTTATTGCTTAATGTCCTTTATTGATCTTCTATAGCAGAAACACAATGGTCATCTCAGATGTTTTAAGTTAACCAAATGTTTCTTGTAAAATTAAAAAATAGACACTTATGAGCACCATAAGTGCCATGTTGTAGGCATAAATTAATGTGAATAAATTTACTCACATAATTTGCTCTTGGAAGAGTTCATAGTGAAAGCTAACTAACTTTAGGATTGTGGGACAAATCTGACCAACATTTTCAAGAGATCATCAGAATTATACAGAACAACATATCCTAGGGCATTTCAGGGCCCAGTTTTATGGCAGTGTCCCTCTCTTACTGCCACAGTGAAGAGACACCTCTTAAGCCCGGGACACACCAAGCCAAGATGTTCAGTTTAGGGAACAAGTCAGTGGTTACATACGTAACCATGGTTCTCAGAGGGAACGAGATGCTGCATTAAAATGCTTTGGGAACGCCTCTGCATGACCGCGTTCTGAAGCACATGTGGAATCAGTCCAATAGAGAAGCAAGACATCACGAACGGGGTGACGTGAGCAACCAGGAAGCATAAAGGCGCACCCAACAAAACGCATGTTAGCTTCTGATGAAGTGAGCACCTGCAAGGATGCAGGGAGTATAGCAAAGAGATGCGTCCCATGAAGGTACCTTATTGCACTGTACTGGCCTCACCCTCAGGGTGCCATGGAGGAAACGAGTGACAAGTGGGTGTCTTCCCAATGACTGACCACCCAGAAGGGTGTGGTAAGCAGCTATGGCCACCACGTATACCTTCAGAGTGGAGGGAGATAATCCTGTGGTGAAACACTCCTGCAGAAACTCCAGAACTGTACCAACTGGGCAGTTGACTGGGTCTTGCAGTCGCTGTCCGCACCAAGAAGTGAAAAGTCTTCACTTCAAGGCATGTGAAAGGGAAGGGAGCTCTTTCCTCATGGTGGGAGCTCTGGACTGGAATATGGTCTCAACAATCTTGGTTGAGAGCAGTGTTGGGCAAGTTACTCTGAAAATGTAATCAAATTACTGATTACTCCTTTTAAAAGTAATCACGTTACTCTTCTGATTACTTTATTTCAAAAGTAATTAGGAATTAGTTACATTACTAGTTACATTACTTTTTTCTCCATTAAATTTATGAAATCCCAGCATACAGGCTCCCGATAAATATTTGTTATTAAAGCAACAACATTCACAGAACACTGTTATTTTTAACTAAAGCAAGCGGCTGCTGCGTGCATGGTTTGACATGGCAGAATGCCAGCAAAGAGCTGCATTTATAATCTCTAAAAGACATCTCAGTTCATCGCAATCTCACAAATCTCTGTTATTACACAATAAATATATGCATAATGAATCTTTCATAATGTCTACAATTCGTGTGCACGCAAATTTCAGCACTGCATTGCTCAATGCTGCAAACATGTGTTATAGCCTAAATAGAAACTCTGCATACGCTTGCACCTGTTAATCGTTTATATTTTATATTATATCATGTTGGTTTTGTGAAAAGCAATTTAGATGAATAACAATTTATTGGTTTTAGATACTTTGTTTAGATATTTCTATTTTGCGAGAGTCCCGTGAATCATTTTATTCTCCAGCATTCCCGCACACACACAAGTGTCTACCCGCCCGCACCAGCACTCGCCCATCTTGTCCCGTGCCGCACTCTGTTGCGTCGGGTCTCGCGTCGGGTCTGGCACTTGACTTGACAGTGAGTGTGCTACATCCTTTTTACAATATCTAGATTATAAAACACTGCATTCTGTCAGCAATGTAATGCGGTAGTAACGTATAGACTTCGGCTTGTAACTATACTCTAATTACTACTTTGAAAATACTCTGTTACTAAAAAAGTAATCAAACTACAGTAACGCGTTACTAAGTAATGCATTACTGCCCAACACTGGTTGAGAGACTGGATGTTAAGAGCTGTGCCACCTCAGGGGCCACACCCACAGCTTCCATAACTCCGGGTGGGGGTGAAGGATGGAGCCTCTTCTTGAGAGAGGAGGTCCCTCCTGATCAGAATTTCTAGCGGAGAGCCGTCAAGAAGGGACACAAGGTCCGAGAACTACACTCAGGCCAGCCAGAATGGGGCTACTAGCAGAAGACAGATCTCGTCCCGGTGTACTCTTTCCAGGAGCAGAGCGATCGGGGGAAAGCATACAGACAAAGCCTAGGCCACATACGCACATCGATACGAGAAGGAGACAGACGTGCCTGCATCGTTGTCGAATCCCACACCACGCCGAGACAAGTTTTGAGTCCGATTTGAGACACTATCTGTTTGATAGTGAGCAACTTGAACTGAAGGTGTTTGATAGCGTGGTTCAGCAGACATAGATCTATGATCGGACACAACCCCCCATACTTCTTTGGAAAGATGAAGAAATGGCTGTAGATGGAAGGAAGCTACTAGCAGAAGACAGATCTCGTCCCGGTGTACTCTTTCCAGGAGCAGAGCGATCGGGGGAAAGCATACAGACAAAGCCTAGGCCACATACGCACATCGATACGAGAAGGAGACAGACGTGCCTGCATCGTTGTCGAATCCCACACCACGCCGAGACCAGTTTTGAGTCCGATTTGAGACACTATCTGTTTGATAGTGAGCAACTTGAACTGAAGGTGTTTGATAGGTTGGTTCTATGGCCACCTTTCTCAAGAGAGTGTCTACTTCTTGTTCCATTACCAGAGCCTACTCGGGGCCCACTAGTATGGGAATGACCCTGCTGAAACGAGGCAGTCGAGAACCAAACTGAATTCTGTAGCCTCTTTCTACAGTCTGCAGGAGTTTCCATGCTGCCAGAAACAGTACTAAGGGAACCAGCCCCTCAAGGCTAGCCTCTGGTGTGTCACTTCGGTGTCCTGAAGTGGATGACCGGCAGGGAACGACAAACCTGACAGCTCTAGCACCCTCACTTGAGATAACGAGCATTCTCGTGGTGTACCGTTGCCGGGCGGCAGCTGGAAAGTTCGCTCGTTGGAGCACGGCTCCTTGAGAGCACTGAGGAGGATCGGGCACCGTATACTGAGGTGTGTACCTCTCCTCCCCAGGGGGGTCTGCCCTCAGGGCCCTCAGGGATCCGAGATGGGCTCGTCCTTATCTCACCCGCTAAACCCACTTGCAATCTTCATGACAACAATCTGCACTGTGCCTCAGCAGCAGTGGGACCGGTGCCAAGAGTACCGCGAGCCTCACCGCTTTCATTGAAGACGGCCAGGCGGGAGTGGAGCACACGCAGCGCGAGCAGCTCACAGTCATGACAATCAGCCCCCTCGAGAGCTGATCGTGCATGCTCTGCTCACAAACAACTGACACACAGATCGTGTGTATCCCCACTGAGGTATCTGCTGACTAGCTTTTTGAAGATGCTGATTTCATTTTCCAGCAGGATTTGGCACCTGCCCACACTGCCAAAAGCACCAAAAGTTGGTTAAATGACCATGTTGTTGGTGTGCTTGACTGGCCAGCAAACTCACCAGACCTGAACCCCATAGAGAATCTATGGGGCATTGTCAAGAGGAAAATGAGAAACAAGAGACCAAAAAATGCAGATGAGCTGAAGGCCACTGTCAAAGAAACCTGGGCTTCCATACCCCCTCAGCAGTGCCACAAACTGATCACCTCCATGCCACGCCGAATTGACGCAGTAATTAAAGCAAAAGGAGCAACTACCAAGTATTGAGTACATGTACAGTAAATTAACATACTTTCCAGAAGGCCAACAATTCACTAAAAATGTTTTTTTTATTGGTCTTATGAAGTATTCTAATTTGTTGAGATAGTGATGATCTATGCATGAAGGTCTCATGTCTTGTGACCACCTGCTTCCTTCCCTGTCTGAAACCCTTACAAACTTATCTTACAACAAAAGAAACAGGACCTTGCATGACTATTTTTAAAAGACAATCGTTTAAACTCATAAGTAGTGAAAATGTATCCACTGTATGTGTTA